GTATTCAGGAGACCTGCAGACCATGAAGCAAGGATGACACCTATAGTGCAGGTGGCATAAGTCTCAGGATGAATTTGACGGAACACAGGTAAGAGTACATCTTCCTTCACAACATGAACCATATTTCCTGAGGCAAAAATAGGTGGAGCAATGGATGTTGTACAGTAGCTATATTCAGGCCATGCAAAAGTCATAAGTTTCTGTATCCCCACATAACACACATTTCTCCATTCAGGTAAACAAAAGGCAGTACAGTGGTGCCTCGCAAGACGAAATTAATTCGTTCCGCGAGTTTTTTCGTCTAGCGAATTTTTCGTCTTGCGAATCACGAATTCCCATAGGAATGCATTGAAAATCAATTAATGCGTTCCTATGGTCAACAAAAGTCCAAACAAAGCCAAATTTGGTACAACAACCTCCCCAACTGTTGCAAACCGCTCCCCAACTGTTCCCCCAGCCCCTCCCCCACAGTTGCAAACCCCACCCCAACAGTTACCCCAGTCACCCAGCACACAGAAATTCAAATCCAGAAATTTTTTTAAAAACAGCAGAATGGCCCAGTGGTCACAGAAAATCACAAAAATGCAGAAAAAAACACACAAGCTTCCAGATTCCTGCAAACCCCTCCCCAACAGTGCCCCACGTCACCCAGCACACAGAAATTCAAAGCCAGAATTTATTTAAAAAACAGCAGAGTGGCCCCGTGGTCACAGAAAATCATAAAAATGCAGAAAAAACCACACAAGCTTCCAGATTCTTGCAAACCCCTCCCCAACTGTTCCCCCAGCCACCCAGCAAACAGAAATTCAAATCCAGAATTTTTTTTTAAAAAAAAACAGCAGAGTGGCCCAATGGTCACAGAAAATCATAAAAATGCAGAAAAAAAACCACACAAGCTTCCAGATTCTTGCAAACCCCTCCCCAACTGTTCCCCCAGCCACCCAGCACACAGAAATTCAAATCCAGAATTTTTTTAAAAAAAACAGCAGAGTGGCCCAATGGTCACAGAAAATCATAAAAATGCAGAAAAAAACACACAAGCTTCCAGATTCTTGCAAACCCCTCCCCAACACCAAGTCCTTGAATTCCAAACACCCCAACCCAAAATCCAAAACCCCCCAAAAAAGTTTTAAAAGCTTAACTTGGCTGCAAAAGAAGTTTTGGAAAAGCTTCAAAAATCACCAAAGTCTTTAAAAACCTCAAAAAAGGCTACTATGTACACTGCGTTCTATGAGTTGCTCCTTGAAGTCAAGTTGGAACTGTATTAACGGTGTTAAGAAAAAGGAAACAAACTTGCAAGACGTTTTCGTCTTGCGAAGCAAGCCCATAGGGAAATTCGTCTTGCGAAGCAGCTCAAAAACGGAAAACCCTTTCGTCTAGCGAGTTTTCCGTCTTGCGAGGCATTCGTCTTGTGGGGCACCACTGTATTACAGTTCAGGGACACATTCCAGCCAGGCAAAAGCAACCAAGAAGGCAGAAGAATAGGGCAAGTCTTAAGAGCCAGATAGAAATGCCCCTGGAGGACTGAATTCCCCATCCCTGAACTAGCTAATACAAGTAGACCCATTATTTAGTCAAGTCCATTGATTTCATTGCTTCATTGGTATGACTTAGTTGGGTGCCACCTAAAGACAATACCAATCAAATCTATCAGAAGGAAATGCTAAAGATGGGTGCCACCACTAAAAAGGCCTCATCTGAATGTGTATGAATGGAGAGTGAATGACAAATGAATATGCCTTCTGGTGTTCTTCATGGATGTCGGCTGATATATATTTGTGTGAGTGAATTGGAGGCATTGAATGTGGTCAATGTGAAATGCTGTGTGAATGGGATGTGTGAAAAGTGAACATTTATGAATAGTTGAAACCTGTGGGGGAAGCCATGACCATTAAAGTGGTATATTAATGCTTTAAATGTATGGTGTGGAACTGTGGATGTAGTCAAAGATAGTTGTAAGCTTCTTCCTGACCAAAGCACCTCTAGTCTGAATTTGTGAGGAGCTTGTAGAGATAAATAGTAAAATAAAAAGGAGTGTTTGTTCATACACTGACTAATTAGCTAAAATACTTTTTTAATTAATAGTTTTTATAAGGGTGGGCTAATATGCTTAATAAAATAATTGCAACGTTTGGAGCAGCATATATCAGTTCTTAAGTAGAATGGAAGACAAATGTTTTTAGACATTTCCTAAGAAATTATCAATGACTTCCAGAGGAGGGCAGCATTGCTACAGCTGATAATCTATAACTTTCAGCAGGTTACTACAGGAAACAGAAGGGGGACTGCTGAATATAGTAGCATTTTCATACATGGAAGACATTTCATAATACCCTGTTAGCTATGTGCAGATGAACATGTGAAATGGCTGCAGACATGTAAATTTAGCTGACCTCAGTTCTGAATTTCAAGAATATCTACACCATATTATTCACATATTGAAATATAACGTAAAGTTAGGTAAAGGGACCCCTGACCATTAGGTCCAGTTGCGGCTGACTCTGGGGTTGCAGCGCTCATCTCGCTTTATTGGCTGAGGGAGCCGGCTTACAGCTTCCGGGTCATGTGGCCAGCATGACTAAGCCGCTTCTGGCGAACCAGAGCAGCACACGGAAATGCCATTTACCTTCCCACCGGAGTGGTACCTATTTATCTCCTTGCACTTTGATGTGCTTTCGAACTGCTAGGTTGGCAGGAGCAGGGACCGAGCAACGGGAGCTCACCTCATCATGGGGATTCGAACCGCCGACCTTCTGATCTGCAAGTCCTAGGCTCTGTGGTTTAACTCACAACGCCACCTTATATTTCCCTTATTGAAATATACACAGGTGTAATTTTGTCCCTTCCGATATTGACCTGGACGCCCTTCACAATAATGAGAAATAATACATTACATTCCAAGTGTACATTTTGGGATAGACCCCCTGGGAAAATTTGTGTGTGCGTGCGTGCTGCTGCCAAATTTTTGTTGTGTTTTCTTGCCTATTTTATCCGTTTGTGGAAAGGCCATTGTCCATATAGTTAATATAACGAAGGTTTCGTTTATTAATGGCACGCATCCACACCATGTTTTTAAATTGCTCTTATACCACCTTAACCCACACTTGGTCCTAAAATCAATCCCAGCCACACATTGTCCCCCACAAAAGTATTTCTAGGTGTTCAAATTCAGGGTTAAATATGTCTCTGGGGTGAGGGGAATAGTGTGCCTGCCAGAATAAAACTCCTTTCTGTCTGCCTTTTCCCCTCAGTGCTTGTCTGATGCGATCAGCCAAGAGAATGAGTGGACAGGATGGTTTTAAAAGGCCAATATCTGCGTACATTTCAAAACTTATTTCTACAGTGTGTTTCACAAGTTTCCACAATATTTCATCACCATGTAATTATTGACTAACTGAACTGGTTTGTAGCAAGCTGTGTAGGACCCTGGTGTGTATATTGTTTGTGTAGGTACATATTGGACTAGAATCCATTTCTGTGAATTGCCAATCGAGAATTATTCCATGGCTCACAGTAAGAAGTTGCAAGATGGTGAGGCTGATGTCTGACTGCAAGTAATGAACTATGGTTGTGAAAAAGGAGTGGAAATCTATGGGAACGAAGGAACAGAGCATGGAAAAAGCTGCACACTTCGATTCAAAAGCTAGTCATATGATCCAGTGGAAACTATACTGTGAACAGTTCCCGTGACGCAGGGCTTTTTCGGTCGTGGCCCCGATCTGGTGGAAGGTTCTGTCACAAGAGACTAGGGCCCTGCGGGACTTGACATCTTTCCACAGGGCCTGCAAGACGGAGCTGTTCTGCCAGGTCTTTGGCCGAGGCACAGTCTGACCCCCTCTCTCCTTCTGTAATCCTCATGGAACTCTAGTCCAATGGTTGCCATTAATTTGATTCTGAATTGATTTTAGAATGTCTTTTAATTGACTCTGTGATTTTTATGTACACTGTGCTATTTTTACTTGTTGTTAACTGCTCTGAGCCATCAGCCACAGACACCACAGCCAATGGAGAAGGTTGATGGCAGTTGTAGTCCCAACATCTGTCTTGAACTTAGGAAAACTAAAAAGTAGAGCCCATAATGCAGAAAACCAGCAAGCAGAGTGACGGCACTCCTCCCCACTTGTGATTCGCAGGAAGTAGTATTTAAGGGCACTTATTGTGTGTCTCTCCCTCCATTGAATGGTGTAGGTTTTTTTTCCTTTGCTCTTTTGAGGATGGGAAGGGGTTGGGAGAATGAGTGGCCTTTGGATCCTGCAGATCCAAGGACTCTTTCATCTACCCCACTATGTTCCATTTCCAGCTCTACTACCCACAGAGCACCATTAATAGAAAAGCAATTCTGATAGAGCTTCCCACTGCTGCACTAGGAAGGTTTTGACCTGCCATCCTCCCATCCTGCTCATGGAGAGGAAAGTCCACAGCCATCTATTGGTTTCTCAGCCATATCGATGACAGTATTCAACTAAGTTTTACCCATTGAACAGAGACCCATTGAAATTAAATGAACCTAACTTCATTGATTCAGTGGGCCTACTCTGAGTAAAACTTCATTGTCTACCACCCAAATACAGTCATACCTCGGGTTACAGACGTTTTAGGTTGCGTGTTTTCGGGTTGTGCACTGCGCCGAACCCAGAAGTACTGGAACGTGTTACTTCCGGGTTTCAACACCTGCACGTGTGCAGAAACACTAAATTGCCCTTTGTGCATGTGCAGAAGTGCCGAATCGCAACCCGCATGTGCGCAGACGTGGCGCTGTAGGTTGCGAACGTGCCTCCTGCATGGATGTTCGCAACCCGAGCGTCCACTGTACACCTAATAATGTGCTTTTGCACAGGCAAAGCACTTCAAGCTGGGGCTTTTATGTTTCTCTTTAGTGCAGTGCCACAGTTTGCAACACTATATACCTGGGAAACAAATCCCATTCCCAGCAAGTAGTGTTGAATCCTAAATTGCAAGCGTGGTTGGTCTGTTCTAAAAATAAAATGTTGAACAACAGATTGACAAAAGCAGGTCATAACCCTGAATTCTTGAAGTTTATTGTAATAATCCATTTTGGTAACATTTGACTGCCTTATTCTACTTGGGTAATCTTTTGGACTTCCATAGATAAATTCCAAACACTGAGATGTAAAGTGAGCCCCTCCGGAAAAAAACCTCCCTCCCCTGCTTTCAAAATGGTATAAAGGTTGTGACTGTGAAAACAACTACACAAATAAGATATATAAAAATCAAAACATTGTATCGTACAGCAACATTCAATAGCGAATAAGATTATATACATAAATATTTATATAGTACATATATAGCAATGATCACTGTTTCCTGCACTGACCATTTATCAAACAAAAATGCATTTAACAATACTGGTAAGTGTGCTTTTCACATTCCTTGCGATCTCCTTACACCCATCTGAGTTATAGTGGAAGACTTAAGAACTTCAGTGGAGCTCTGGTAGATCAGACCAAAAACCCATCTAGTCTAGGATTCTGTTTATACAGAGGCCAACTAGATGCCTCCGGGAAGCCACAAACAGGACCTGAGTGTGGTAGTCCTCTCCTGTTCATGTCTCCCAGACAAAATGCAAACAGAGATCCAGCTTGTCTTAGAAGGTCTTCAAAACAGAATTATAATTGCAGGATCAGGTTTCCGGCTGGCATAGGCATAATATTTTGCTCACAACAGGGATCCTACCAGAACCAGCCTCCCTCTAACAAGTAAGTGAGCTACAGTGACAAAGATAAGATGCGCTTGCTATGAGATTGTTGTCATCTTGTTAAGGGTTCCACTCATCCTCCAATGGCCACCAGGAATACCTGACAAGAGCATAGAGACTTCATATAATGCTCACAATGGCGGCATCACTGCCAATTGGAGAAGCTTTGAAGGTCCCCTAGGGCAAGACACAATCTTATTGGTGTGGCTAGTTGTTGATTGTAATTGACAGTAACTGCCACTTGCTGAGAGAGCTGGGACAGTTACACCCCACCAAAAGCAATGGCAGCCAGTTTTTGTAACAGGAAAAGGAGATTGCTGAAAGTTATGATGGCCAAGAACTGACCATACTTGTGCACCTTCAACACAGAGCACTTCTGTGATCACCTGTCCATATAATTTATTGCTTGATAAGTAAAATACTTACAAAGGGTTGGTGCTCACAACTTGACTGTACTTGTTAACTTTATGAATAACCATTCAACACAATTGTTGCTTTTATTTTCTCTTCCCTTCTGTGTCTATGTACATGCATACACACTATACATACATATATACACACACTCAGTTTTGAGATGTTGATGGTCTTAGCTTTTGAACAACTCCCAAATATTCCAGCCTCTATCTTGAAATAGGGTGCAACATATTCTGTAATAAACCATACCCACAGACAATTTTACAAGGCACTAGGGTAACTTCTGAGCTACTACATTGTCTCCGTATTCTAGAAACTGTGGTTATCAAAACAACAATAGCAGTAACAGTCTGTTTCAAGGACTATATACACATTTTTTATTCTATCCTGGTCCAGAAAAGTTTGGCACAGGCTTTAATGCATAAATAACAATCCCTTATTAAAGGGCACTTGAATATTCCATAGGATCCTCCTAGTGGCATTACTAGTAAAAGTCTTTGGAATTTTGCAGTTATTGACTAGAAGCAATGTCCCCTTCTATGTGTCAAAAGTCTTTTTCCCTCTTGTTTTGGATGATAGCATTCAATCATTTCCAACACGAAAGAAAAAACAAATATTTTCTATTTTTCTTCCAGATTAATGCTGCTTGGAACCTGGAGAGTTGTAAATCCAGTCCAGGACAATTAGTGTCATGCTTCCAATCATAAAGATCACACCAACAATCAGGAAAACCAGAGCCTGTAATTGAGAAGGAAAAAAGAAAAGAAAATCCCATATTAGTGGGGGAAAGGGTTTATGATTTGGCAATACTGAACTGCGGCGCTGATTGCTTCCAATCTACTTACCCCGATCTTCTGAGGGGACCTGAAAGGTTCTTTCTTGACAATCCGGAGATAAAAAGCAGCAGGAAGAATAAAGATCAGCATTGTGGCAGCAGAGGCACCTGACGCAGAAGACACAAATAAATGGTTAATGTTTAGTAAGAGACAGCAGCCACAGAGGACCACCTGTCTCCATATGATGACCCTGCGATCATCATTTGAGGTCCTTCTTCATGGGCCACCTCTATGAGAGGCCCAGTGGATGGCAACACAAGAACGAGTCTTTTCTGTGGTAGCTCCCTGGAATGCTCTCTTCAGGGAAGCTCACCTGGCGCCTTCATTACATATCTTGGGATGCTGGCCAGAAAGGCAGAGGCCAACAACAACTGCTTTAAATGTATAGTGCAGATGGGGCCTGAGTTTACTGGGACCTACTGACAGGTAAGTGTGTACAAAATTGCAGCATTAAACTATATATAATAGTTCGATCCTATGCCTGTCTATTAAGACGTAAGCATAAGTTCCATATGGTAGGGAAGGTAAATGACCCCTGGATGGTTAGTCCAGTCAAAGGCAACTATGAGGTTGCAGCGCTCATCTCGCCTTTACCTTTAAGTTCAATATGACTCACCTCCAAGTAATTGTGTATCGGAAGGCAAGCTTTAGTTCTAAAAGGCATGCCTGAAGCTGGTTTCCTGAAATCTGTCATATCAGACCTGGTAACTGATTTCAGAGTGTGGTGTTCACCCTCCAAAAAGGAGCGTTTTATTGGTTGCCAACAGCCTGATTTTGGTGTGTGTGTTAGTTATGGGGTTGTGAAGAAGGCCACGTGGCACACACAGCTCTGTCTTTCATCTGAGGGGGATGGCCTAAGCACTGAGAAGGAACGGCCTGGAGGTTGTCAGCATTGCCCCCACCCCCCAAACCCAGGGTCTGTGTGGTCTGAGGCAGCTGCCCCACTCTGCCCAATGGTATGGCCATCTTTGCTCCTACTGCACTGAATTCTACAGTACAGGTGTTTCGACAAACATGATTTGTTTCCCCCGGAGGCATAGTAAGATAAGTAAGGATTTTGTTCCAAAGCATACCTATGAATCCAAAGATGTCTCTAATGCTAGGGACAAAAATAACTAAGACGTTGTTGAAGGCGAGGATTGCTGCAGCAATCAAAAAGTGTCTTATCCAACTGAAAGGCCTTCCGGGAAACAAGAGTGCAGTAACCGAAGTACGGATCTGTTAAAGAAAAAGGAAAAGAAAATGTTAACCAGCATATTTTATCTTCTTAAATTTAGAACTGATGCTGGGTAATTTTGCAGCAAAAAAGAAAGAAAAAGAAAAAAGCATCCTGTCTTTCTCTTCATCTTTATAAGCATTCCCTTTTAGTGATGAAAATGTTTCTATTCCACCAGGCTTACGCAGGCAGTTAAGAGTACATCTCCCACAATGGTCTATCAATGTTTATTTTTAATTTCTTTTTGCTTTTAACTTGTTTTTAACTTTTCATTTTATTATTTGGTTTTATCTTTTCATATTGTGGTAAACCACTGTGATATTTATAATGCTACAGCAGTATATAAATCTTTTTCATAAATAAAACAAACCAACAATGCTAATATAGTTATATGACTAATGTGTGTACTTTGCAGCAGAATTCAAAATATTGATAAAAAGTATGTAAATGGGAGATAAATACTTTGAGGAAAATATGTTTCTGCTACTAGAAGAAAATAGCACACGTTTACTTTCTTATTTATTTATTTTTTTAGTAAAAAAGAAATGCAACATGCAAAAGTCCTTTGAACCTCTCAGCTCAGTAACGGTTAAGTACATGGGGGATTTTTTTCCTCATTCTCAAGATTATTGTAGGTTATAAAAAAAGCAGACGCTTTTGCTTTCAGTGAAAAATAAAGTGCAATGTAAGTACTCGTACACTCGATCATTCAATCTATAAATGACAGAGATATGTCAGTTTTGTTTGACCCTGACCTTGCAAACTACCCAAACCTGAACAGCTTTCCTACAGCTTTTGTACTTGCAGAGATAATAACTAGGTAAAAGGTCAAGGCAGCCCCACTTGGCAACTGCGGATAGGGTTACACTCCAAGTCCTTCGCATAGCTGAAGAAGCAAAAATCTCTAAGTGCAACAGGACAGCAACAACGGCTAGCAGATCAGGGTCAATTCAGAGCCATGCTGGATTACCCAATTACCAGGAAAGCATCCAAAAATGTTTTTGTTTTTTTTAAAAAAAAGAATTTGACAATTGATATTTCAAAAGTAGTCATCATCGGAAAAATCAGAAGTTTGTTAGACTTCCTTGTCCTCTGCTACACATACTTCCCCCATTTTTCTGTCTCTTTATATTATTTATGCCGCCTAAAAAAGGCCCTCGGAGAACAACAATGTGTCAGGATAAACTTGATTCACTTTCCCTGTTGTGTAGGGAAGGAGACATGCTTTGCTGAGGAACTTCTCCAGAATTTTGCAATTTCAGCATACATGTAAGTTTTGTGACATTTTGGAAGAAGAAAACCGGCTTGTTTTTTATTTTGAAGGATATGGGGGAAGGCACCATAATCTTTTCAGTATCTGGGGCCTCTAGAGGTCTTAATCTGACCCTGTCCATAAACATTCCCTCTAGTACCAATGTTTGGGAGTAAACAAACTCCTATATAGCCAAAAATGCACCACCCAAGTGCGGGAGGAAGGTAGTATTCTGCTCAGGGGAACTTCAAGGTTTGAAGGAGTTAAGAAACTTTTAGGGGGGATTCTAAAAAAAAAAAAGGGGGGGGGGAATCCCACATACACCCAAAGCAGAATAGCCCAGTGAGAATCAAATGTGCTCTGTAGTTACAGAAAATCTGAATATCTAGTGGAGAAGGGAAAACCAAAGAAGAGAATGGGATGGTGTTCTGGAAGAGGGATGAATGGGTGTATGAAAGACTAAATCCCACACCACATCTTGTTACACCTCCCACTTCTCCACACTACCTGGAGCTTTTTTTTGGAGTGATTCTGGCACTTCAGAATGACCTTCACAATGTAAGGCTTACAGAGGCATTATGCCATTTGGATCCATGGGGAAATATATTATTACTCTCTGAATTTGGGGGGGGGGAGGGTAGGGGGAGATTACATAGCTTATCTGGACCCTATGAGCATGAGACAAAATGAAGCCTTCAGCCTTGCAGTGCAATATTCCTTTAAGGACATTGTGTAACTGTAACTTGAGAAACTCAGGGGAGCTGATAGCTGTTGTAGTGTGCAAGCTGAGAGGCTCTAACACACGTTGTTGGGGATCCGTCAACAATTCATGCTGACTTGAATGTCCTCTGCTTTCATACTTAGTCACCTCCCTGGAGAAAGCACATGTGCGCTTATTACTTTGGGAACAGCAACAGCAACAAATACATAGCCCAAAGTCACCAACAGCTACAGCAAAAGTGGCACTGAGGCTTTTCCTTGCACCTCTGCCATTTCCCCTTAAATGCTTAAGAAGAGATAGGATTTGCTACTACCAGGCAGTTGAGGATGCCTCAAATTCTCTAATAAGCTCTTTCAAAAAGAGGTTTGTGTGGGTAAGTGTAAAGTGGCTAAATCCACGTAAAAAGGAAAAACAAACACCGGGTGCATTTCTTCTTAATGTAATTGGGGTGGTTTTTTTGTGTATCTCTCTCCCAGTTTGTGAATAATTATTAACACTTGATTTTAGTGGCTTTGACAGATGGGTATTACTTTCATAACATGTTATGTTTAGGGGGCAAAAGGGATAAATCACAAGTCCAGACTAGAAATAGGGTGGCCATACACCCTGAATTTCCAAGAAAATAGTGTCAACAACTTTGAGTTTCATTCCCCCCCCCCGAAAAACTCAACCAGGGTCGTGACTGGTCTGATCAAAAGATCCCCCATAACATGGAAAAGCAGCTACATGGCAACAGTTCAATATCCAGTCTGTAAAAGGTCCTCTGGTATGGGCTGCTCAAAGATCATTTAATAACAGTCTCTTGACTTACAGGGAAGAGGACTATGGGCACAGTCAGGGTCACAGCCACAAGTACAGCGAGGCGAACCATCAAAAGCAGGGTGTCAAAAGTGTACACTTTGGTGTAGGTATGAAGAAGCTCATCCTCCACTTCGCCTGCAAAAAGGAAATGAAGAAAGTCAGCTTTCTCAGGCAATCTCATGTCCACTCAGGGCCATAGACATATATGGACACACGGACACACGTGATTGCAATTTGAGAAGTTATAATTGACAGACCAGACAATTATTTAGCTTTGGGAGGCCCATATCAGTAATAACGCTTAACCATGTTAAACACTAGCAGTTGTTTTTGTTGCCTAACTTGCTCTAAAGCTGCAGGGCAAGCCACGGGCCTATGTGTCGTACTGGAGGGGCAGGCTGACCCCGCTCCCTGGTGGCCCATGCCCACTCGTGATTCGCTGATTAGGCAAAAGTGGGTGGAGTCAGAGGCTTCCTTTGCTGCCTGGGAAGCAGTCCCTGGGATTTCCAATGTTGGATCTCAGCATGTGCGCAGGAACTCCGGCCCGCAATTGCGCCCATCTCAATTACTGAGAGAGTTTTGACTCACCGTAGAAAGTCAGGTAGCCAAACAGAGCAGCAAGGAGGTACATGGCGAGCATCCCAGTGATGGAGACATTGGCAACGCTTTGCATACGTTTTCGTGATCGACTGAATGGGAAAATGAAATAAATTAAATTAAAAATGCATGTAATGAATGAAGAAGCCATTACTTTCTTGAAAAGACTAACCAGCTCAAGTATTTGTGTATACCGCAATTCCCTTTATAGCAATTCCTCTTATTGAAGGAGCGGGGAACTGTGGGACTCCATCTCCCATCAGCCCCAGCCAGCATGGCCAAAGGTCAGGATGATGGGAGTTGTAGTCCATACACCAACCACCACCAACAAATGTCTTAATGACATGACTGGGGGAAACTGAGCCCCTGGCAGAATTAATTTGGCCCTTGGGCCAGGGATTCTTCATCCCTGAACTAAAGGTTATAAAAATAGAAAGATAATAGCAAAAGCAATAAATATATGAGGATAATTAATAGAGGAAAATAATTCATTAGTAGGAAATCAATTAATATATTTTTAACTAAAATTAGAAAAGGAGGGGGGAAGGTTTCAATAATGAGCCTATTTTAAGTAGAGTATATTGATGAGAAGCCATCTTACTTTTTCAGTTCACTGTATATGGGTAGTACTTCAGGGTGGCACACAAACGCGAAGGCCAGGATTGGTATTGTATAGGCAGTCTAAAACAAAAAACAAGGATCCCAGTTGCTGGTTAGTTTTTTCCACATCTCACTGGACCAGTTTACTGAGCAAAGTGACTGGCTTTATACTGCAGCTGTTCCAGGTAAAGGTCTAGACAAGATGGAAGCCCTGAGTAGGGGGACCGAATGAAGGAACGCTATGCAATGGCTTATCAAAAGGATATCTTGTGTATAAATTTGGGGAATCATAAATGCAGCAAAGAGATGGCATAGCCACTGGCCACCACCATCCCCTGTGTACTGCTGACTTGAGGGTAGCCAATGTTGCACCCTCTAGATGTTGCTGGACATCCCATCTGCCTTAACCAGCAGGTCCCAATCAGTATTTATTAAAAGGAGACAAATAATCTCAATCTAGATAGACACCCAGGGGGTCTTTGGTCTTCAAGAGGAGCCCAGTAAATGCTTCAGACTGGCATAATGACTGGGGCAATCTGCAACTCCCAGAATGACTCTGTGCAATAAAATTCTATCAGTCAAGGGGCAACGGCAGGCAGGCAGTTCTATGTGAAGCAAAATCGTAAGAGAGCCTTACCCGTGAGTTAAAGACAAAATATTTGGGGGTACACTTCTCATCGTCCTCTCCATGGGCTTCATATTCTACTCCACTCTGGTGCATCTTATCTTTGGCTTCTTCAAAACTGGAATACTGCTTGTAGGTGCTGTCCAACATAAAGTTTACTTCGGAATTGGCAGAATCGTTGGGTAGCATCACGACATGCAATGGAGCTGTGGTGCTGTTGTAGGACCAATTGCCAGCACCGCTGCCCAAGACTGGGAGAGGGCACGGTATTTGGGATTTCTTGTAGATGACCTAAAGTAAGATTACAAATATACATATATATCAAGAGACTGAATATGGCAAATAATAAGTTGAAACGTTGAATGCCTTTGCAAGACATTGCTATTGTTCTCTAACAAAGTTATATCTAATTGGGTGATGTTTCTGTTTTCCTGCTTGTGCTGTCTGTGATTCATTCCCTGCAGTCACTAAAGTGGGGATCAATTCATGGCACAACAGAACTGTCAGGAGAAACCACAGAGCTCAGGTCCCAGAGAAGCATTCCAAAGGTCTGCTCTGCACACTAAAAAGCATAGATCATTCTGAAGGGCCACTCTAGTCCCCACACTCTGTGCCATGTGCACCAAAATCCCCAGGGGATATTTTTTTGTTCTCCAGCAGCAGCAACAAAAAAATATGGGGAGCTTTAAGGATTTCATTTGGGGGCAGGGCTTGCAGGTCGACAGCCTTGATTCTGTAGCAAAGCTTATTCATCTTGTTCATGGGCATTTTGCATATATTACAGTGCCCCAGTGTCCTTTTGGACAGCAGATGGTTACAATACTTATCCTGCTTACTCCACAGAAACTCAACTGAGAGTGAGATGAAAACATTCTGAAGCATGCAGCTGTCAAATTTTCACAAGAAAGGGGTGTTTTTTTTGGTTGCTGTTTCCTAAAGAGGTGTGCATCATAAAGATGTGTGTGTGTGTGTATGATGATGAAAGCAGACAGGTAAATGGAAGAGGACATTGATTTGAATTTGAATGGTTCCTATGCTTATTTGGTCTACTGCCTGAGATGTCTTAACAGGTCTGCTTTGCAGCTTGGAAGCATGGTTAATCCCAGGAGCTGCTTGCCCCGCGAGGCTGAGCTGCAGCAATAGCATTCCAGCATCGTCATCACTGCCATTCACAAGGGGTGAGGTCACTGCAGTATGGCACACTGGCTGCAATCCAGTGCTGACACCAGTGTGCTATGCAGCGCTCAACTTGGCTATCACCTCAACCCTTACCCTCACCCCAAGTAAGCTACAACTAACTACACTGCTGAGGTGAGACTACTGTTGCAGCTCTGCCTCTTGTGGTTGAGTTACCCTGCTCTGCTTCTTCTCTAAACTCATTCACAACACGGCCAGGCCACGCCGTGATCTTCTCTCGTTTTTATCACTCTGGGCTACTCAGCACACTTCCTAAACCACAGGCTCAAACTTAGGTTGCAACAGTTATGGTGTAGGCTTAGTCTTGTTTTTTTTGTTCTGAGGTCCCAGATCTCCTCTCTCTTCCCCTTCTTTTAAACCTTTTTTGTGTGTGAAAAAACTTTGTTTACAGGTGAGACCCCAGTTATCTTCAATTTGCTCAGAATCCTAAATTTGCATCTATACATTTCAATCAGCAGGCGTAACAAATTTGCACCAATTTGCCCCTGTGCCCTGAATGTGATATGTCTCTGACAGCACCCCTGGCTGGAGCCACAGTCCACACTCCATAAGCACACTGTTACCACTCACACATATATTACACATACACACATTGTTCTGCAAATGTTGCTACACTATTTCCTATAATTACTTACCACACTTACGAAGAATACCATGCAGGTGAGTGAAAATCCACTTGTATAACCGAGATACCCTACAAAAACAACAAAGTGAATGCACAGTTAAACCACAGGTGAAATTAGACGACCAACTCTAAGAGTTTGATAGAGGTAAGTCATTATAGACGTATTTTAATACGGTAGTTGATTGGTTTACCTAAATTCTTCAGAAGTGAAAGTGGAAGAATCACACCAATGCTCACAAATATCACAAGGTAGTTCCCATTTAGATACCATTCCCTAGAATGAGAAGACAGAATACCCATGTATCAATCAAATCTGTTGAGGTTATAAGGAGACTTCGCTGAATTAAAGAAATGTAACCAAGCCCATACCCAGAATTCTCTTCAAGCCCTAGAAATGCTCTGAGTACTTCTGGAAGTTCGTACTTAATAATGAAGAGGTAGCTTGACATTGCTGAAACGAGAAAGGATGAATAGAGTATGATGACAAGGTCTGAAAAACGGTATCCAAAACATTCAGATCATTAAATTTTCAGTTAAACAGAAATGCTGTTCATGTCAGCTTACATGGGGAAATCATTCATTCAGAAAATTATGAGTTTTAAACTCTGGAACATCCTCCCTTGCTTCCGAAGTCTCTCATCGTCATTGTAATAGTGGTGCTGGGATTACCCGCCCGTTTCAATGGCCCTTACATTCCTATGTGTGACAACCAGAAGCCCAAATGCTTTCTTACCCTTTGAGCAGAACAGTTACAGCTCATTTTGACATTGTTATTCTCTGTCATTAAGGATGCTTTCGTATGGCTTGGTTCAGACCTAACAATCTACACAGCCTGCATGGGCTGTCACATCCCTCCCTTCCATGCTTGGGCAAAAGGAGGAGTCAGAAAACTTCATTTGCTTTTGAATAAACCGAACCTTCCCATCGCACTCAAAAACAGGGAGCTGTATTTCATTCTAATTGTTGCTTTGTTAGGATAAAACCGCAGTGCCTTGTTTCTTAACACTGAAGCATCCGCAACTACTCTGAACTCGGCTCTTCCAAAGGATATTATCGGTTGGCTCTGACAGAGGCAGAGTGGAGGCTAGCTCCACCCAGGGCAGGCATGTGGGGCACCCCCACAAGGGGACAGGGCACAAAAGGAGCCCGCTGCACCCCCGGGTCAAGCCTTACTTGGGAGTAGAGCTGCCGGTGGCAGCGTGCCGCAGCGCAGATAAGGATAATGAGCAGCAGTGTTGTGGCAACTCTCCTTTCTCTGCTGTGGCTGGTGGTGTTGGACCGATTCAGGCTCCGATGAGGGATCCTGCTGTGGGGGTGCCTGGTGCCCCCTCAAAAAAAATGTGCCTGCCCCCCCAGGCCACCGCACTATGCCACTGGGCTCTGATTCCCTGAGAAAACTGAAGTACATTTTGTGCTGTTAGAGTGATACCTTGGGTTACGAACTTAACTCGTTCTGGAGGTCCAAGTTCTTAGCCTGAAACTGTTCTTAAACTGAGGTACTACTTTAGCTAATGGGGCCTCCCGCTGCCGCAGCACCGCCATTGTGCGATTTCTGTTCTCATCCTGAAGCAAAGTTCTTAACCTGAGGTAATATTTCTGGGTTAGCGCAGTCTGTAACCTGAAGCGTCTGTAACCTGAAGCGTCTGTAACCTGAGGTACTACTATACAATGATAAGCTAGCAACGCACAGCACATAAAGTACTTCCCATTATATTTTGGGTTCCTGTAATTTCATTTCACTGCTCTGCTTATGCTTTAAGTATTGTACAGGATTAATGAGGTCAGAATCAGGCCAAAGGGAAGAGTCACACCCACTTTGGCCTTGGGCTCCATTGCCACTGGCATTTGGAAAGTTCACCATGAAGAAATGCGGCCCTTTGGAGAAAAAGGGTTCCCCAGCCCAATGTAAGCTATGAAGGATCAAAATTAGGAAGCCTACAACCTTGGCTGCCAAATATAACAGAGGAAAGTGTCCTACATTGTATATTGCATTTAGGCTTTTAAGTAGATCATGAATGCCATGCACTGGCCTCTCTCTATAGGGCATTAACATGAGTGTAAAAATAGCTTTCAGAAATGTCATTGTATGGTAATTACTGTATTGGGCACCATAATTAAGAGTTTATTTCTATGGTGCAGCACTAAGGGCTGCTGTGGCACCAACAGCAGACACCCCCCCATTTCTTTATTATAAGAAAATTACTGTCATTTTAAACCCTCTCATTAAAAAGACATTTCCCACTCACCTCCAATGTTCTGCATCGTAAGAGAAACAAAAGCACTCATTTTTCCAGGCCATCCAAATGCCTTTTCGCCTAATTTTTCGTATATTAGTGAACCTAGGAGCAACAGGAAAGAAAATATTTTACTTCAAATATCTTTTTCATTGATTGGGTTTTGCACAACCCTCTGAAAGAAGCAAATTCAGAGGGTAACCATGCATAATAGTGGGGCTAAGGTGCAGTCACTGAAAAGCTATTTCCATGTCCATTGTCTAAGTATGTGATTGTTTCTCTCCCCCCCTGAAATCAATGGAAATTAAGACTGTTTAATTCTGGTTTGTGCCCATAATGGCCACTTACTCCTTTCCTGGGTGGGCAGCAATTGTGGCCCCTCACATTCAGCCACCATACCTGGCCGCCAGAGCACATGAGTTTTGGCTGGTCATCTGGGTATTTTCCTGGCCGTCTGGGCCAAAGGGTGGCACTGCCCTCCAAAAAGTGAAAATCAAATGGGCCAATCAGAAGCCCCACTGGTGGGCAGTGCATCACTGACTGATCGGGTATCGGCTGTTTCCATGCCCAGTCAGGCAGTGGGACATAAAAGCTGGCCGCCATAATATGGGCTTGCGATAACACTGTCATTGCATGTCTTGTTAAGCTGCTGTTTCTACGGGGATATACACTCGGCATTTATCACTCCTGTTATACAAAAATCTCCAAATGGGTCTGAACTTCAATGTCTAAAACTACTGGTAGAGGACAAGGATCTAGAGATCACGCTAAGGGTGGCCAAATTCTGTGCAACTGCCATAAAACTTAGGGAACAAACTGTATTACCAAAATGATTAAGGTTTTAAATGACAATTTTAGGTTATATTTTAGTGATCAAGATTTAATATATATTTTTAACTGCCACTATATCTGAATTGTCTCTGTTATACCCAACTGCAATTCAATGTATTTCTGTTGTGTTTTATGATTTTCCTGATATTGTAAGTGAGCTGGAACTGGTCTGTGACCGTAATAATAAAATTATTCATTCAACACTGTCATTGTTCCTGAGGAGATCTGGGTCATTGTTCTTTGCTATTTCTGTCTTTAGTGTGCCAAACCTGCCTGGTTGGGATGTGGTCTCCTCAAATGACTCTCCCACCACTGAGATAATGAATGGCATACCTCCTTCCTTGGATGTCTTCAGCAACAGGTGAACCGAATAGAGAGACATTATGGCTACACTGAGCAGCAGGATTCTGTGAGGAAGAACAGAAGTTATAAATCCATGAGCAAGGATAAAATGAACTACACAGATAAGTTATCCATTCCTTTGTAGAGACATCAATTCAGGTGTGGTATTTTAAGTTCAGTAAAGGGGAAAGAACTTTCATTTTGAAGGACATTGACTATAAGGTCCAAAGGCCTACAAAGACAACATTCCTCAGTGTATTCTAAGAGTTTTTTAATATATCTTATCTAGTCTAAATCCAACACAGAATAAAAGATGCTTAAAACTATGGCATATTAAATGCTAAAATATATTTAACATAGCATGCAGTTTGACCCACAGATTGCTGAATAGAGCAAGTATATTTAAAAGCTTTATATTCTTTTACCAGTGCAGCAATGTGCTTCCCTCAGGTCTCTGCTTTTTTGAGGAACACCAAAAGTGTTCCTTCTTTTCTTTTTAAATAATGCAAGACAACGATCTAAACTTTTCATTCAGCCTTTCTCCAAATTGGAAAGTTCCACAACACAGGTTTTAAGGAATGAAATCATTTGCTGATCCGGAAAGCTTTGTAAGAAGATGTCTCCCAGACTGATAGGTCTAGCTATATAGTTTGAAAGTTGCTCAGGCGCATCTGCTGTTGCCTGTCAAAACATATGCTATATGGATAGTGTATGTCAGCTACATGCCATCACAGTTAGCATTTGGCACGGTCAGATGTTAGGGGGCAGCGCGTCTATAGACACATTTCTATTCACAGAGTTTCAGATTTAGTGCCATATGGACAGAGAGCATTCTCTTCCAGTCTCCACAGTAGGGGTAGTATCACTTCGATTCCACAAATACAAATTAGGTGAGTTATTTATTCCTTTGGCATATTTGTCCCAGCTGGAATTGCAACGTTGCTGCTATGTCATGGAACACAGAGAAAGAGATGGACTCCCCCCCCCCACTGCCTAAACAAATATAAATTAATATAGCCAAGTTATAGGCAGGATAGTTGAGCAATAATAAATGCATTAGATAAATTTTTGGATTAAGTATCTAAGGCACGTCTCAAAGTGTGATATGGGATCCTGAGTGAGGGAGACACAGTCTTGAATGTGACCACAGCATTGATAACAGTACTGAATTGTGCTACAGTGCATGTGCCTTTCCAGACTCCTCCCCTGCCTTGTTTCTTGACAGCTGTATTCTGCAACGTGTCATTGACCCTCTAATAGTGCATTAGTGGTGGATGTGATTTGTGGTTCTGCAATGCTTCCCCAATGTTCTTGCATTATTGCAACAAAAGTAGGTCAAAAGTAAGGTAAAGGACCCCATGACGGTTGTCTAGTCAAAGGCGACTATGGGGTTATGGCGCTCATCTCGCTTTCAGGCCGAGGGAGCCGGCGTTTGTCCACAGACAACTTTCCAGGTCATGTGGCCAGCATGACTGAACCGCTTCTGGTGCAACTGTGATGGAAATCAGAGCGCACGGAAACGCCATTTACCTTCCCGCCGCAAGGGTACCTATTTATCTACTTGCACTGGCGTGCTTTCAAACTGCTAGGTTGGCAGAAGCTGGGACAGAGCAACGGGTGCTCACCCCATCGTGTGGATTCGAACCACCGACCTTCTGATCGACAAGCCCAAGAGGCTCAGTGGTTTAGACCACAGCGCCACCCACGTCCCTGACCCACTATCAGTACATTAGTGGTGGATGTATTTGTCATTCTGCAATGCTTTCCCAATGTCCTTGCATTATTGCAACAAAAGTAGGTCTACTCTGAACACGACTAAGTCTAGACCCAACCCAACACACACACACACACACACACAATAATAATTTCTTATTTCAGGATATCATAGCTCCAACTAAGACTCTACCATCCCTCCCCAAACTACATTGTGGATACCTACACAAAAAGTATGATTCCAGTGTTGGCCATGGCATAGGACAACCCCAAGATTCCACTGCCCATGATGGCATTGCTCAGGTTAAACGATGACATTCCAAATGAAATATCTCCTGGATTCTATTGGAATAGAACAAGGAAAATGTGCCATTAGTTATGTTGTGCATCTGCAAGGACACAGCTGCGACTCAACTGTGACTAAGGGACTTACATATTCATCTGTATAATTTTCCAATTTCTTTTTGCCCAGAAAGCCATTGGTAAGGAACTTCTGACTTTCAGCATCATCACCAACAAAGTGACTAAAAACAAAACAAATGAACAAATAAGCAAGGAAAGAAGAAATAAATGTCTTTGCACTTTAAAATTCAGGCTTTGGCTTTACACCTGTATTCCTTTATTTAATAAATGTATACTCCACTTTTTGAGAAAGCTTCTCCACAAAGCATCTTTCAATAATATCTAGAAATCTCAACGATATTACAATAACTGCAATGCAGAACTGGCACTGGTACGAGTGCCACAAGATAGTCATTTCCCCCTTGTATGAAATCATTCTTTTATTATGGCTGCACCTACAACTTTGGAACTCCCTGCCAATTGACCCCAGACAGGTGCCTTCACCGCACTATTTCTGGCACCTGCTAGAAGCAGTTTTGTTTAGGAAAGCCTATCTAGACATGCCAAATTCCTACAAAAATGTAGACAGATGCCTTGCTTAACTCATTAAATGCAACTATACTAAGCAGAACAGTGTACATTATCATTAAATTTTGTGATGTGTGACCCACTTAGAACTGTGTGTTCCTCAAGTAACGACCGAGTGGGTTGGCTTGCCTTTTTTACCTTCTCATTCTGGCAATTAATTGTACCTGCTAATAGTGGCCTTTTCTGGATCTCCCATATCGGTATAGGTGTCTTCAGTGCTGTCGCCGCTGTTGCTCTCCTCGTCAAGGTCTGTGTTGACTTTTCGCAGTTCCATGCGATCCATTTGAGCTGTCAGCGATTTCGAGTACACACACACAACCCCGAGGCGTCTTCAGTGTCAACAGAACTGTACCTTCTGCTTTAAAGCTTCCACCTTCGCAATATGTTGACTCTCAGAACACTCCGTTCTATAAACAGAAAACCAAAGACTTCATTAAAAATTTCCTCAAATTAGGTAAAATGTGTGGGAGCATCACTCGGGTTTATGCTCATTTTGTTTTTTTAAAACTACATTTCCCCTTTGGGAAAATTCTGAGTAAATTAAAATTCTATCCAGAGTTTATTTTCAAAACGATGTAGGGAAGAATTATATCTTAATAATCAAGGTGCTTTCTTCAGCATTATTATTATCATTAATATGTCACATTTATTTATTTAAGCCAGCCTTTCCTTTAAAAACTGGGTCAAGGAAGCTCACAAAAAATAAGAACTCATGTGAGCAAAAAAGAGGAAATAATATGAATGATAAGTCACACAAGTCATCATCCATCTGAAAGAGATGCAGTATAGCTGCCCTGATGTAGCGACTGATGTAGTCAGACAAGATCAAACATTATTTTTGCCTGCACAGGTCGTTCCTTTCATTGATGTGAATGGGGAACCCACATGCCCAGCAGCGCCATGTGTATTTCAGAATTCATGTGAAGCCCTGTATTAAATAGGATTGTAGCACTTGACTGAAGGGCATCATCATCATCATTTACATTCCCACCTTTCCTCAAATGAGCTCAAGGTGTCACACCTGATTCTCTTCCTCCCCATTTTACCAACACCACAATTGCAATAAAACTGCTATACCAAAACCACCCACAAATTCAGCAACTCAAGATGTCTGCACAAAACTTTCCATCATCTATTTGACGAAATAATATATTCTTATCTGCATCTGTTTCTTTTTTAATATCTATATCTTTATCTATCTATTACAGGCATGGTCATTTTGATTAGCATTTGTAATTAATTGACATTGATAGCAGTTTACATCCCTGATCCAAATGCACAGATACAAGCTAAACTCTAATTCCTACAGAATATTTGAACAGCACATTTTTCAATGGATTAAGAAATATTCAATTACTTACAATCATGGTTATTGCTGAGAATAACCACAGGCAAGGAAACAGAATCACATAGTTGTTCGCCAAGAAACTATCAACACTTCAACTCTATATCTGCCAGTATAACACATTAATTGGATATAGTGTTCCAGCAAAATTAAGTCCCAGAAACTTGAAAGCCCCCCATATATTTTAGCATTCAAAATGGCATTCAAAATGTTGCAGAACTGAATGTTATGAGAAATTTCAGCAACACAAGCTGTTGTAATTTATTTAGCCCCAAGTTTAATAAGAATTTCATATTTTTTCAACAAGGAATATTAGTCACTCGACAACGAGAAAACTGTCACCGTTTTGTTGAGTGTAAACATACCGTTCCCAACAAACGTCCTGTCATATATTTATTTATAGCATGAAAACACTGAAGAGTTGATGTGCAGAGAACATTAGCATATTCCCAGTATCCACCCAGTGGCTAGAAGTTAAAAAAGACTTCAGATTGAAAAGCAGATAGCAAAGCCTGTTATTTAAAATCTGCAGTATCATTTTTAAAGAAAACAATAAGCAAAGAACACCATGCTGTTTGATATAGTTTCCTACCAGAGACAGGCAAACTGCATATGGCTTTCTGTCTGATCACTCCAGTCCCTGTGTGAGAGTGATCACCTAATCTGGCATTAGGTCAGAGAAAACTAGGCTAACATTTCAGAGGATTGATTGCTGAGATACAAGGAACTCCAGTTAGAGCAACACAAAATTATGTTGTCTTTGCCATGTTATTTTGTCCTCTGGCAAGCTATTTTGTCCTCTGGCCAGCAGAATGACATTGCATTATGACCCAATGCATATTCAAAATCTGTATCTAAACTTAAAAGGACAGTAAGCATATTTGAAAGTAAAATGCCATCTGAAAGAAAGTTTAAAAGCGCATAAAGAAAAACCAGCTAAAAAGTTCCCAAATCCAAGTAACCACAAAAATTACTAATCTTCCAGAGGAAAAATAGCTAAATTCTTTTTTACTGACATTATTCAAGAGAAAGATTTAGGGTAATATATAATAGAAAATTGGTATTTATTTAACTTTCCCCCCCTTTTTGCTATAGCTTTGGGCCTGCATCTACATAGCTATTAAAAAACACTCTAAAATGCTCTGGAAAAAAACTGTTTTAAAGTTCACAATGGAACATTTCATGAAGTTTCAATTTCAGCTCTACTGCACCATCTGGTGTCACAATGTTATAAGGCATATATAATGTCTTCTTTTTGTTTTTCCAATTTAGCTGAGCCCTGGTTTACAAAATGATCACTACAATCTAGCAAGGCAGATCCTTGCACAGTCTTTGTTGTGCACATCTGATTTACTTGCAAATCAATGCTTGGATGTGGATCCATATCCCAATGCTCATCTGGGGCATACTGAATTTTCTGGGTGCATTCTGCAATGTGGATGCAAGTTGTGCACCCCATATGTGGTTGTCTCTGCAACTAGCTGAATAAAATTAAAGCTGGATTCAGGCCAATATTGTTTTAGTCCAACATTGAAATGGAGGACTTGTTTCCTATAGTGTGTTATTCCAAACTGAGAAACACTTACGATAAATGGCTTCTATCTTGGATTTGCTTGCAGAATCAAACTAAACTGAGTTCAAAGAAAGTAAAATGCCTCTTTTGAACACGGTCACTTGCCTATTCTCTCTCCATCACAGGAGAGGTGACCCTGACAGTGTAACCAAGGCCATCAGACAGAGTTCAAAACTCATAGCAGGCACATGGTGACCTGAGATTGACCCAAGATGGTGAACAAAGAATGCGACTAAGGTTGTAATCCTATACTCATTGACGTGGGAGCAAGTCCTATTGATTATATGGGCTTTCCTTCTGATTAGAGAATAGTGCATGGGTAGGCAAACTAAGGCCCGGGGCCCGGATCCAGCCCAATTGCCTTATAAATCTGGCCCGCGGACGGTCCGGGAATCAGTGTGTTTTTACATGAGTAGAATGTGTCCTTTTATTTAAAATGCATCTCTGCGTTATTTGTGGGGCATAGGAATTTGTTCATCCCCCCCCCTCTAAATATAGTCCGGCCCCCTGCAAAGTCTGAGGGACAGTGGATCGGCCCCCTGCTGAAAAAGTTTGCTGACCCCTGGAATAGTGCAATAAGGATACAGTCATAAAAATCCTCACTTAGATGTCATCACTATTAAATAGAGACTTACATTTCATTAAGCATGAATAGGACAGGCTGTACAATTGCCTGGGATGCTCTAGCTGTGTAAACAGATTCAAGGAAAGCCTGAGTAAACCTTAACAACTCCACAATCCTTGCTGGTGCGTGCAAACTCTGAAGCTGTTCAAATGGAGTATAACATTATTTATGTTTGTGTACCATCAATGCGAGCTGTATATTTCACCCAGTACTGCAGATATTTCTGCCAATGGCACACAGAGGCGTCAACACGAAGCAATGATACTTGGAAAGACCATTTGGTTATAGGAGCTTCCTAGCTTCCCATTTGGTTTCAAAGGAGGTGGAAGGATTATGTAGGCATATGCTGGAACTGCATAATCTAGGAGTTATCTGGAGCCATGGCAGCATTGGATTCAAGCAGTTCCCTATCAGGGATTGGACTCAAGCGGGCAAGATGGAGGAGGAGGAATGGTGGAAACCAACCCCCCTTTCTCCTGATGTTGCAGGAGAAGAGGGAGACAGCTTTGATATACAGCAGAGCTTTGAGGGGTTTGAGGAAAGTCACAGCTCATAGAGAGACGAACAGAAAAGTTGGGAAGTGTTAGAAGAATGGGAGAACCACGGCAGGGCAGGCAGATGACACGTTGTCACTGAAGAGTACAGTGGTACCTCGGGTTAAGTACTTAATTCGTTCTGGAGGTCCGTTCTTAACCTGAAACTGTTCTTAACCTGAAGCACCACTTTAGCTAATGGGGCCTCCTGCTGCTGCCGCACCGCCGGAGCACGATTTCTGTTCTCATCCTGAAGCAAAGTTCTTAACCCGAGGTCCTATTTCTGGGTTAGTGGAGTCTGTAACCTGAAGCGTATGTAACCCAAGGTACCACTGTATTTCTGATCCCCCTTCTCCCAGAACGTGGTGTTCGTTAAGAGTACAGTGGTACCTCGGGTTACAGACACTTCAGGTTACAGATGCTTCAGGTTACAAACTCTGCTAACCCAGAAATATTACCTTGGGTTAAGAAATTTGCTTCAGGATGAGAACAGAAATTGTGCAGCGGTGGCAGCAGCGGGAGGCCCCATTAGCTAAAGTGGTACCTCAGGTTAAGAACGGACCTCCAGAATGAATTAAGTTCTTAACCTGAGGTACCACTGTACAGGAACAAAGGACTCAAAGACATTTGATCACAAGTGGCCACCGTAAGGGGAGATGCTGTTGCTAGGAAGGAGGAGCTCAGTTTGGAGCAATGCCATTGTTAAGGTTTGTTGCGTTCTTTTGTCTCTCGCTATTAGGATTGAATAAAACTCATTAAAAAGGACTCTACTTTGTTTCCTCCGCTCTTGCTACAACCAGGGGAGGAATAGCTTTCCTGGAGCCTTGACGTTCCCCTACACAGGAAGCCGAGCCAATGGGGCGCTAAGTTGAAAAGATCCATAACTGAGAAGATGCACTGGGGGCATGAAATTTTAGCCTCACTCAGGGTGCCATATTACCAAAGATTACCAAAATCTGCTCCTGGCCATGGGTTCTGCAAGCTGTCTGTGGTATCCAGGCAAAACTGCAAAATGGTGTTCTCCCCACCAGGGAAGAAGGGGTACGTGAAGAGCCACATCAGGAGCAAGTGGGGAATAAAGATCTACATTGGGAACAAGGTTGGGAGGAGACCAGCAGTGCCTCCTATTTGCCAAGAGGATGCTGTACAGGTGGCATGAGGGGGTGCTGCAGAAGAGAAGGCAGACCCAGTCTACAGTGCTGGAACAGTCACTGCTACTATGGCGGCAGCAGCAGCAGCAAAATCTGCTGGCCCTATGGATCCTGCCACCTGAGTCGGATGCCTCACCTTGCCTTATGGGTGGGCCAGCCCTAATGGAAACCACATCCACAGAAATATTACATTCCTTTAAACACAATGAAGAGTTGGGCCCCATTTTCTGAAGAGCATACCTATTTATCAAGCCACAGATTTGATAACATCCATGTTTGCAGGTTGTAAATCTTGCATGTTTCTACAGGTATAGACTTCCATGGAACTAAATTCCATTGCTGCCTGAAGACAGCAATTTTGTAGAAACTACGCTGATTCTGGTCTGATCAGCAACTGAATGGGAGACCACCCAGGAAACTCCTGTATATTGTCTTTTGCTCCATGAAGAAAACACAAGGAAACAGAGAAGCAAATGAATTGGACCTAATCATTTTCAATTTCTAGATTGATGGGAATTTAACTCGCTATTACTTGCATTAATTTGCCAATTGCACTGCAGACAAGATTTCATTGAGAGCCACAAAGGCACTCCCTTCTGGGAAATAAAGCATTAACGTTTTTGAAGATGAAAAGCTCCGTGACCTCCATGATAAGATGAGCAAAATTAAAACCTCCCCTTTTCTTTTGTCAATTATGAATGTAATAATTAGCTACATAAATCGAATCTAGCCAATGATAGCTAAATTATCTCAGAATTTAGAATCAAAGATTGTATGGAATTTCTACACACACACGCACACAAAGTCAATTCCAACTGTTGAACATTTGGCAGTAAAAAATAAGCATATGAAATCTGCTACTGAATATTTTTTAACCCTTTTGTATTTAAATATGAATTGTTAATTTCATATTGATTTTAAGATCCCCTTACTTAAAAGCATAATGAATCTTGCAAAAATACCTTTCTTTCTTTCTTTCTTTCTTTCTTTCTTTCTTTCTTTCTTTCTTTCTTTCTTTCTCTCTCTTGTTTCCACACCAAGATATAACTTATTAATTTAAAAATGGCACCTGTCTTTCAGAGTTTTCTCATTTAAGACCTTCTAGAGCTAGACAATGATTTAAAAGCAAATGGGAGTGTATCAGATAAACCAATCATCAATGAAGAGAACCCAACACCTCCATTTGTCCTACTTGCGTCAGCTCTTTTTTTTAAAAAAAAGAGGAAAAAGATAAAAAAAATCCTGGTGCACGTTCAGGTCAAACATCACTGTTACTGGAGCTATTTGCTTTTTGGACTTGGAAGTTGTACAAAATGCACATCTGTAGAAGGTCTGACATAGACTTTTGCAACTGTAGACTGCCTATTTCACTCATCTGTACTTTCAAAGAAGCGGCATAAGAATTATAAGGTATTTTTTCTGGATATTACAATTTCTGTAGACTAAAGCAAGACTACAAGAGGTCAACAGCTACTCTTGTTTTTATCTTGCTCCTTGCCTCAAATACAAAGATGCTCTGCTGAGGTTTTCAAAGAGGTTGAGAAGCAAAAGCAACAGAGTGAGGTACTTTTTCACACAATACAGAATCAGTGATGACATTCCTTGCTGCAAGAAGCCACTAATTAACACGTCGCTGGAAAAAATATTACTGTAAGGGTGATAAGCCAATCATGGTAATATATGAGTTCCATGATCAGTGGCAGTATACCTGATTCCCAGAAGTTGGGCATTGGCATCTGGTATTGATATTGTTCTCATACATTACATGTAAACCTCTCTGTGGATACTCAAACTCAGAAAATAGAATGCTGAATTGGATCATTTTATTGACCCAAGCACAACCACAGTTATTGTCTTAATTTCATACTGCACAGGAAATATGAGTATTTGAGGTCTGGGTTTCTCTTATTTTTTAAAAAGTATCTCAAAAACAAACCTCTGTTATCTACTTTCAGATAGTCAATACAGAATAATACGTCAGGTCCAGAGAAGCACAAGCCACCTTGTTCTTGTGCAATGAAGCTGTCCTATCCCAGGGCATCTCCCAACTACCATACCTCTGAAAGTCTGCTGTTGAGGTTTTAATGCTATACAGTGTAGAGTATATACAATCACCTGGGAGTCAGTTCCACTGAAGTCAATGGGACTCACATCTGAGAAGTTGTACTCCAAGAACCAGGAGACTCTCTAGAACTATGAGGGATGGGTGGAAAGGGCTGAAGGGCAAGGGGGGAAATCAATGGGATTGGGGCGCAACTCTTGCACAACACTTTGCAACAAGCCAAGCACCTCTGAATCCAATCACGATATAACCAAAACCCAGGATATATCAATAGTTATGGCAGTCCTCTACCCGCATACCAGCATTCATTCTAATTTCTCTTCTTATTAATTCTAATTCTAATCTATCATCAGTGCCACCCCGGTTTCATGGAAAACCAGTGATGATTACAGATTTAGGAACAATCTATCAATTTAGAAATATCAGGTAAGGTAGCCATTTTGGGTCAGTCCAATTTCTGACTGCCCATTGGGAAATCATGTAGCTGGACACCATGCAACATTAAAAACAAATTATAGGTAGAAATATATTCTCCAGCAGGAGAATAGCCTAAAACTGTTCTTTGTTATATGCTGGATTTCCACTGGCAAGACTGTGATTTTTATAGGGGTAAACATTCAAATGTTTTTGTCCCTCCATCCCTCGGAACCTGAAGTGGTCCACTCTCAGGAGGACTTTAACATCTAATTCTGCCCCTACACCCTGAATGTGCATTTGATTCCAAAGAGTAAAATATGGATTAGGTGGGTCTGCATTAAAGCTGGTCACACATCGCACTCTAGTCTTGAAACTCTATTCCCTCAAGGGTATAGATCTACCCTAGACAAGCTCCTTCGAAGACACAACACTTCTCCAGCTGTGAAAAAGTGTCCTCAGGGAAATGTCTGCCTTGAGAGAAGGGAAAGGGCTCTGGGGAAGCCATGTAAGTATTCACAGAATGAGAAGGGAAGTGCAGTTTGGTCAACACCTAGCATTTGACAAGTTAAGGTTTCTGCCAGATACATTAGCCTGAGTAAATTCAGCTGGGTTCTCATTTGAAGGCAAACCTACTTAATTCGCACTTCCAGAAACAATATGCAAACAGAAACACAGCTCTTCTTCAAAATTGACAATTCTCCTAATTTTGAAATGCAGTTCTCCAGCCAAGAAATGCATTTGCTAGGTGCCCCAAAATGTATATATAGTGAAGACAACATAAAAAATGCAATACATTAAGCTGCATTTCATGAAAATTTGACTATTAGAAGATATTCACACTAAAATGCTGATGATGAATTTTCATGAGGACTTCAGAAAAACAGCAATTTGTGAACTGTTGTGGAAATGTGGAACTTAAGACTGGAAAAATTAAAAACTGAGAAATGCCAAAATTGTTGTCCATTAGCCTTACAATGATTTGAAGATGACAAACAAAGCAAACCGACTTCCTTTGGAATGTGGCACAACAGAAAGAAACCAAATTTTCACCCTGTCATCTTCACAAGTTTACCTATGATTTTAATGAAAAACAAACTTCACAAAGTACGCATACAAAAAAAAAAAGTTCAAGGATATATTTCGTAATGCCACCAGGACAGAACATTGGGGTGAATATGTAGAACCCAACCCAGCAGAATGAGCAGGTGCACCCCTCAAAATAATAAGACTCACTCTCCACACTGAAATAACACACATTACCATCTTTTTAAAAAGCACCTCCTACAACATTGTTAAACCCAGAGTCTAAAATTACCTAAGTGCACCACTAGCAAAAGAATATTTTTTACACTCAACAAACATGCTTCGTTTTGTGGCTTTTCCTCACTTAAAAAACTGGTGTCAGCCATTATTCCACATATAAGTTTAGCATAATAATGTCTATCATCTCATTCTATCCAATAAGCCCACCTTTTCTGTAGATTTGTTATTATATTTATACATTTATTTAGAATATCTCTAACCTGTCCTTCATTATAAACAAGCTCAATATGATTACATCTTGTTTAAATGAAACAATCACCGTAAGAAACCCACTTAATTACAAAAGCAGATAAGACAAGTCTAATTAAAACCAAAAACTTCCAAATGCAGAGAATAACTAATTAAAACTGATATCCTCAGCAAATTCCTCTGCAAACAGATAGGTTTTCACTGGGCACTGAAGTGAGAAAAAGATTAGGCACCAAGTCTCTATTTTAAAGGGAAAGATATTCTAAAACTGGCATGCCATCAGTGAAAAGGGCATTTCTGACATCACATAGTGCCCAATGGTGGGACAGCTACCATTGTTATGGATGCTGTGCAGGAATCATTTGACTGCAGAAAAGCAGGCATAAAATGCCTGTCTTTATTCAGAAATGACAAGCAGGCAAAGGGGGAGCCTTTCCCGAGTTGCCTTTCCCTTTGGCAGTTGTGATGGCAGTGAGGAGAAGGGGCCCTCACTGAGGGCATCTTGTCCTAAGTGCCACCTCCACCCCTGAACCTACAATCGACACAACTCTTACCACTCCTCAACTCCTCAAGCAGATGGTTCATTTGTGGGATGGGGAGAAACTACTTCTAGGGCACAAAGTGTTTGAGCTGTTACTTCACAGCACCCGCCCCTTCACCCCACCCCACCTCCCAATCCCAGCCCCCCTACATGCAAAACATCGCAGCTTGATTCTTGAGCATATGACCCGGCATTTTGAAAGAAGATGAAGACCTAGATGGGGAAAAGTTAATGCTTAATTCCTGTGCTGACTAATGTGATCGAGCCAGTAAAAAGTTCCAGCCCGTTGCTAAGAGATCAGTTGCTGATAACAAGTCTGTGACTCATCCAAAGAGTTCATGGCTGGGCAGCAGCGACTTGAACCCATGTTCCTCCAGGCTGTACCCGCCAAGGCCTGATCAATACTATGCAGAGGACAAACAGCACCCGCCCGACAATATGCTGGGCGAAGAGAACCGCAGCGAGAAATCCCTGGGGACAACCTTTTCGGCCGAGGTCAGCCCAGAGGTGTATGATAAATGATAAAGGACCAGAGGCTTTGCTTTTGGTCGTCAGCAGAGAGGGGAGAAAGCGACCAGTTCAAAAGTGATGTAAGCTCTGTGAAGCAATACCCTCCTTGTGTTATGCAATACACGGCAGATTAGAGAAAAGCCTGAATTTGGCATCTAAATGATGTTTGCCTTCAATCTACCAAGAAAAACTTTGGGCTAAAATAATTCTACTGGTTACGCTTAGCAGAATGTGCCAGGCATATAGGAACTTGAACAATAGCCCATTATTATTTTTACAGAGAAAGTGGGGATTTAAAAAAAAAAGAAAAAGGGAGGAGGAGGAGGAGGGTTCTAATCCTCTCTCTCCTACTACCCTTCTCATGCCCCTCTCCACTCCATCCATTATTTCTGCCACACAATATTTACTTCCCCTCCACCCACCACCACAGCTTTGGCAAACATTTGTAGGGTAGGGAAAGAGGATGGAGCCAGACAGTTAAGATGCAGGTGTGCTTCCTGTAGCTACCATCCAAGCCACAATAATGTTTGCAATGTTCATGTGGGAGAAATGTCCATGAAAATGCACCCTTGCAACTATTGTTAAGCAAGTTTTCCATATTTTGACAGGACAATGTTTGCTTGTTTTTTCAAAGAAAAATTATAATAAAAAGAGGCCCAATGTCTTTGAATTGTATTATTATTTTTTTGTAGTCATGTAGCAATGGATCATCATGAAATGGGTGCCCTGCTCAAACAACCTATGCAAAAAAATAAGTAGAAAAATGAGCAAGGATCTTTCGGTAGCAAGTGCATTTTCCCGTATCAGAAAGTCCTTGCACTGTGTTTATGACACAATGGTGTAATTTTGTGCTAATGCTGATTTGCAATTTTGTAAATCTCAAAAACACAATTTGCAAGGTTGTGTCCATGACCCCCTTGGGGAGGGGGGAAATCTAAGAAAACAAGCCCATTATGAGACTTTGCAACAGATGTTTGCTTAGCTTGAACTCCACAAGTACGGCTGCCCAGTGCTTTGGTACATATTTGTTCCTGAATCCTTTCTCAGAGGCACTATTTAAATATGATGAT